ACAACAAACTTGCATCTCAATCCACGTAGCAAAATAGATCGCATATCAATGTTTTTAAGTTTACATTTTTTCGATTGGCTACAATGTTGCCAAGTTACAAGTAATCATAAATGAAGTGATTATTCTTTGCTACGACTTCTTATATTTTGAAGAATACATTTTTTTCTTGAATTTCATCAGCGTTTTTGGGGCGGTATCAAAAAACGTACGGTACTCCTATGTACAAAATCGGAGTGCAAAATAGCCCTTTTCGTAAAGTGAGCGGTTGCTTTTTTCAACAAGAAGTACCTTTAAAAAAGATACTCGAACGAGGTAAAACTGCTTTTACTTGCATGGTGTCTTTCGCTATGCACATGCATTTCTGGGATTGTGAACGGTTTTGGTCGTCTCGTCATTTTATAATGTCGTTTATAACTCGATAAATTCTTATGTTGAATAAGATATTCACTAGAGAATTGATGAACATTTTTAAAGCAGCAGAGTAAAATATTTAATGGGAGGAAGTTTCACAGATCTGAAATATCCGGAAAATTAAACTAGAACAGTGTGTGTTTTCCGATACTCCTTTAGATTATTCTATAATTTCCATAATTTATTGTTTAAGATGTTTGCATTTGCATGTATATCTTTCAAAAGAACTGACTTGCAACAGTGAATATTACTTTAAGTCTATAGGACTTTAGTGTTCTTCATGTCTTTATATTTTAGAAAATGACAGAATAAGTTAAGTGCTGACTATTCAGGATATTGTAGGTTGGCGTCTGTTTATTTGAAACTTATGCATGCAAGCGCAACATATATATTAAACATGTTAAATATTATATTGAATATTGAACATAATATTCCATGAAACATCTTATGTTTGCTGGAAAAATCCATGTTTTGATCTCCAAACATTGTATATATTACAATTTATAATTGTTATAAGCATTGTACTATGCTTTATACAAATAATTTTTTCGTATTCGTATTCGTATCGTGTATATGTTTTAAAAAGATTTTGAGATGTCAATACTAATTTTAGACAGGCCAACGAAATTCCTGGATTTCAGTTTGCCATTTTAAAATGAACAATGATATCCTTCTAATATTAAGTTCTTGCCTATCAATTTTACAAGAAGTCAAACCGATATCAGACGGACTTCGTCCGAAAAATCGTACCAATTAACCATGGTATATTAGGAAGCAAACACATACTAAATAAAGTTCGAGCCACTTGTCACATACAACTAGGATTACAGTTAGGTGTTGATGTGAAGTTTTAATCACAAGTTTGACAAATTGTTTTTTTAAGCAAATTTATTACTTGATAAGATAAAGATAGAAGCTCAATGAGTCCCCCACCCACACACGTACACCTTCTAAACTTCAAGATACAAAGTTCACTGCTCTGATGGACAACCTCCTCGCACCTTATACCCTCTCTTTGCACGGTGAAAAGAGAGAGAGCCACAAACAACCACTCAACCTTGACATGACCTGTACTAACTCGAGTGAGTAAACTTGTCCATATTACTTTGAGGTCTTTTCATGTTTAGGTATGAGTACAATCTTTTCCACGTACAGCTAGTAATTTGCTGTTCGTCATTCATAACAAATAGTGCGTATCAAATATAATGTTAAAGTTTATTTTAGACAAATACGGCAATGAACACAAATTTACATCGTTATCGCCCTGATGCCAAGTTTCCTGAAATATAACCACATGAAATCATTACATAAATGCATGACCACATATGCAGATCTCAAATTATTCGTTCAAAAAGAAAAAAACACATTCTACGAACGTACTGTACACGTCAATAATATTGTAATGACTCACACTTATTACTTAGAATGCAAACATGAAATCAATGTGTTGTATCAATGCGTTAATGTATATAATTATAGTCCTTATAGACCTTTTTACGACGCGGTTCGCTGCTATGAAAAATTGACCGGAAGTAGTAGTCCTTCGCGCATGCGCAATTTGCTTAGGGCAAAAAGAGCCTGATTATAATTAATATTTACCAAACTACTTTGCGGATCAATTGTTATAGTTGTAAGTACCTGCTCATACGATGTTAACCTAAAATATAGCACAATACCTTGTTTGCAAATAACTGAATATTTTGCGTGACAGTCTGCGTCATGCCAACTATGGGCTTGGTAGATGCTGTATACAACGCAATTCTGCTTTCTACCACCTTCAGGTTGACCTGAAACATTCAATGTACATGTATATTTATATGCAATTTTCTGATTATTGGGCTGATGTAAGTGAAAACGGAGTGAGAGAATGATATGAGACTTTGCAAGTAAGTATGTAACACCGAACTTTAGGATCAAAATCGAGAAATAAACCCTAAAGTGCGTTATAATGCTACAATTTTACATGTCACTTTGGGTTCTAAAGTTCTGAAGTAGCAAACTAAATTCAGCTTAAAGCTGCACGCCTCCAGATGAACCAAAATATTTAAAAAAAACATACTTGAGAAAAAAGTACTGAGATATTAAGAAATGTAAAAAGATTAAAGATTAAAGTAATAATTTCTATGTTATGTGCGATTTATAACCAATTTTGAAGTATTTTTCACCATATTTCTATTGCGTTAGTAACGCGCAGTAAGGTCTATTTTTGTATATTTTGACATCTTTTTGTTGATTTATATGGTTGTAAGTGTTGTTTGTAATATGAAAATTATTATCATTGTTCACTTTACAATATTCTACTTTATTATGCATTTTCTCAATTTTCATGAAAATTAGCATGAATCTGGAGGCGTGCTGCTTTAAATACCGAGTACAGACTTATTTTGATATGTAGCATTAAAACATTAAATGTGACGGTCTATAAAAAGATACATCTTTGTGCAATCAAATGATCTTACTTAGTATCATTTAAATATCTGAAAATTTTTCAAAAATGTATTTGTTGCTTATAAGATGTAATTGATAAATGTTTTGAGAATTTTAAGACTTTAAATATAAAAAAGGTTAATATGTTTCTAATTATTCAAACTAAAATTAACAAATGTTTATAAGAGCTTTACGTTGTGTCAGCAATTACATGCTAAGTTTTTGTGCAATATATTAAATTTAATATGATGGGGATGTAATAAAGTTCAGTAAATACACTTATCATCCCATTGAATCTTATTTTTAAACAATTCAATTTATGTTTAAATATTGCAACAAGAAAGATACAAGAAACATGCTTCTTGGTAAATTGCCCCATGGCTACAGCTGTAAATTAATTTCGAGCCTATTTCACAATTTTGTGTTTCCTAAATATGTGGACCAAATGAAAACGCTTATGAAAGGTATTTGTTGAATGCTATCTTATCTACTCAATTAATAAACATATAATTTAAGGATCTTTCTATGTAAGGCCACTATTCTAGGAAAACACATATTGTATATGAAAATTGGAGGGTATGAATTTAGTTGCAAATGGTGCAACGCGAATTAGATGACACAGAAGGGCTGAGTGAACAGATACGATGCTCGAGAGAAAAGCGTTAAGAATAAGTATTTTGTTGATACCTTTATTCAGCGAGTTATTCCCTGACAAAACTTGGCAAGTAGTGTAAAAACGAGACAAAGCGGCCAAATAACTCGAATAAGGCGAACAGAGTTACGGTTTCTTTTTGCCAACTGCATACCCTCAATAGATCTATCTTCTCATCTCCTAGCCATATATGATTTCTTGATTGTACCTTCTGTTAAGTTTCAGGAGTATGCCCTGGGACAACTACAATAGTTAAAAAAATGAACTAATATCTCTCGAGATAGCTCAATAATATTAGCTGTTAAGTGCAGCAAGGTGTACTTTGTTTGTGAGCCTTTGCATTTTGTTAAATAATAATGGTGTATCAACCTACATTAGTTTATTGTTCATACCTCTTATAGTATCAGAGTTATTTCCGGTACAAGAAAAGCTGACGGTCAGACGGACGGACAAACGGACTAAGCGGCGCCTATAACGCCAAAGTTCGGTTGATCAGAAAGTGCGGTGTTATGCACATAAGTGATTGGTCTAGATCTTATTTAATAAAATATTAATCTTGAAAAAAATATTTCCAGTGATGCCACCAATAAGAAAAGAGGCAATGATGAAATATTTGAATAGTTACAATGCCATTCTATTTTTTTCAGCTTTCATGCGTTTAAATCTCGAAAATAAATACGATATTTGAAGAAGCGTGAAACATATACTAAAAAGAGCGTTGAAACAAGAGGCTATCTGACTTGTACGGGGGTTTGGGGTGGTGTTTCTTCTCTTTTGTATTATAGGCAAAAAAAAAAGACAGTGAGTGCGGGTTACTAATACCTGAACTCCAGTTAACGCATGTGCATTTATTGGTATACATTAGCCTGCTGACCGTTTTCAATAATAATTCTCCACACACTGTTCGAGTACGAATGATAATGAAAAACTACGGATATTGCAACTGATCTAAACAAGACAATGGCTATTTAACATTAAAGTATACCGGTGCGAGGAGGAGCCAGATGTTGAGAATAAATTTTTGTTGGCCTTCTGATTGTTTCAATCCCATCAACCAGCTTCTAGTTGCTGCAAAGTGATTGATATAAGCACATTATTCAAAATTTCAAATTTGTTAACATAAATGTCTCTATTAGTAGTATACTTTTAAGATAACTCTTTAATATATAAGTGTTTTTGGACTTCTGATTTAAATCCTAAATATGAAACAAATACCGGTAATTTATCTATTTAACGCTAACATTTAGCGCGTCTTAACGCTATGGTTTTTAACTTTTTCTAATACTGTTTATCCAAATCGGTAATTTTATCGCTCTATAAAATCACTGTTTGTCGTTCGGATGCACATTATCATATCACTCAGGCTATGCCCTCGTGATATATTTTCCTCGCAACCGAACTACAAACAGTGATTTTATAGAGCGATACAATCACTGTTTGGAATATATTATTTCTTAAACATAATGAAAATGACACCACGTCAAGATATAATTATGCACGGCCGTGCAATACCATTTATATGGAGTCGCAAAAAGCGGCATGGTATGTGATAAATCTTTAAATTATGTAAAATTTAAAATAAACACTACATTAACGATCTGTGATAAATTTAAACATTTCATTTCCTTTGACATTATTACCCTCGTATTTCTTCGTTTACGAACATTTTCCACGAATGTTTATAGATAATACAACAGACCATCCGACCGTAAAGGCAAGAAGGTAGCTTTTGCTTACGACCGCCGCCCCGCCGACGACCCCCACCCCGCCCACGACCGCATCACCTGTCATGTCATAAAAGGGTTAACTTTGAAGCTCAAAGTGGTATTCATTTACCTTCGTACAATTTTCTTAGAGGCCGTCTCACTAAATTGCTTTGCAAATCAAGAACTTTGCTCGTAAAATCAAGAACAATGCTATGCAAAATCAAGAAAATTGTTATGCAAAACCAAGTACATTGTTAAGGCGTAATGCAAAATCACCGTGAAGCAAAAGATTAAGTTATCTCTATTCACAGAGCACCTATGTTTGTTCAATGGGTTATATTTTATAAGATATGAAAGCAGAAAATATAGCAACTTATTATTAGCAAAATAATTTCCTACGCCTATTTGAGTGGGTGTTTGTCTTGGTTTTATATAAAAAATAATAATAACATGTCTAGACATGGAACATTTCACCAATAACATACCCACCAATTTATCATTTTAAATATAATAAACAAATTTATTTTGAGATGAAGAAATTCGTGAGAAAAAGAAACATCCTGTAATGAAAATGATACGATAACAAAAAATTCCACTAACAACAACATTACATAAGTGTAAAAGTCGGAGGCGGAAAGATAGAATGAAAGATAAAACATATACCATATTTAAACACACATCCTGTTGTAAAGAATAATAAGACCTAAAATCCCATCTAAAATTACCATCATCATTTAAATTTCAAATTGTTGGACAGAGAAAGGGAAGGAATATTTACAATATTTGAGGTTGTCTGGTGACAGATGCATATAGTCAAGACAGTGTGAAATTATTGCTTTTAAAAGAGGAAAACCTTTTAAGTTAAAATGATCGCATAAGTACCTTTAAGAAACAACTTCGGTGAAATAAAACTAAATATATTCGATCTATGTTTGATAAAATATATTTGACACATCCGTCTTCTAGAACAGATAACCTTGTTTTTTGCTTTTCTTAAGACTACTTCAGCATATATAAGTAGTTGTTAAATAGATGTAGTTTATTTATTTACATTATAATAAACGCAAGAAATTTTCAGCCTGGGAAGGTCGTGAAAAAAAATCAGCGTAACTTTTCACAAAATGGTAATGATAAAAATCAATTCCTGCAGTGTTGGCGCAGTACCTCTAGACGCTTGCAGAATGATCACAAAGAAAAAACATACGGCTTTTTCCTCCAATTTTTCATTCAAAATCGTAAACTAATCGTTGCGAAGAGATAAGTTAGACGGCGGTGGGTGCAAAAGCGGGCGTTTAGCTGCATTTCTCCGGTATATGTCGGAATAAGGTATTAAGTTTGGTACTCCAACACATTTTTTAGTCTCACTCATAAAATGTATTCTTCTGGTATGTAAAAACCAGTTTATCCGGCTGCGGTAAGTCATTCTTTTTGTTATTCTTCACTTTGTTGCAATGGTTTCAAATACAAAAGATCCTAAGATCCGAAGCACATTCACATTTGAAATGTCGCAGCCGCCAATAACCGTGGCTACATGTGATCGCATGCCCTGTATAATATCTTTTTATGAAAATAGGTTGAAATCTCCTTGTTTAGATGACTATTAACAAGAGGCCTGGATGTTAAACTGTTTTACCCTTCGTGCTCTTCGCTTAGGAGGTTAATTTTATGACACATTAAAAAATTCTACATAGTTATATAGCTTAGCTAAACACATCGTCATTTACCAACGGCCGAACCATTAACATTTAAAATGTTATTGATTACATGTTATGTTATCTTACATGTTAATTAACGATGAACAAGATGTAAGAGACGTTCACTAATGAAAATAATAATTCATGCATTCACAACTCACAAAGGGAAATTATAATTGTTGTTTTCGCCTTTGGAGCAATACTACACAGATATCAAATATGCTTGAGACTATCAGACAATGTAAGTAATAATAAAGCTTTATTCATCTGTGAACGTAATATTTATAAAACAGCTTTATATACAATCGTGATCGAAATCGTTACAATACAGCTTTAAACATTCGTGAACGAATCATTATAATACAGCTCTATAAACATTCGTGAACGAAATAGTTATAATACAGCTTTATACATTCGGGAACGAAATCGTTTAAATACAGCTTTATACATTCGGGAACGAAAAAGTTATAATACAGCTTTATACATTCGGGAACGAAATAGTTATAATACAGCTTTATACATCTGTGAACGTAATATTTATAAAACAGCTTTATATACATTCGTGTACGAAATCGTTATAATACAGCTTTATACATTCGGGAACGAAAAAGTTATAATACAGCTTTAAACATTTGTGAACGAAATCGTTATAATACAGCTTTATACATTCGTGAACGAAATAGTTATAATACAGCTTTATACATCTGTGAACGTAATATTTATAAAACAGCTTTATATACATTCGTGTACGAAATCGTTATAATACAGCTTTATACATTCGGGAACGAAAAAGTTATAATACAGCTTTAAACATTTGTGAACGAAATCGTTATAATACAGCTTTAAACATTCGTGAACAAAATCATTATAATACATATTTATACATTCGTGAACGAAATAGTTATAATACAGCTTTAAACATTCGTGAACAAAATCATTAAAATACATATTTATACATTCGTGAACGAAATAGTTATAATACAGCTTCATTAATTATTGAACGAAAAGGTTATAATACAGCTTTATACATTCGGGAACGAAATAGTTATAATACAGCTTTATACATTCGTGAACGAAAAGGTTATAATACAGCTATATACATTCGTGAACGAAATAGTTATAATACAGCTTTATACATTCGGGAACGAAATAGTTATAATACAGCTTTATACATTCGTGAACGAAATAATTATAACACAGCTTTATGCATTCGGGAACGAAATAATTATAATACAGCTTTATACATTCGGGAACGAAATAATTATAATACAGCTTTATGCATTCCGAAGCGAAATAGTTATAATACAGCTTTATACATTCGGGAACGAAATCGTTTAAATACTGCTTTATACATTCGGGAACGAAATAATTATAATACAGCTTTATATACATTCGTGAACGAAATCGTTATATTACAGCTTTAAACATTCTTGAACGATAAAGTAATAATACAGTTTTATACATTCTTGAACGAAATAGTTATAATACAGCTTCATAAATTCTTGAACGAAAAGGTTATAATACAGCTTTATACATCTGTGAACGAAATAGTCATACTACAGCTTGATACATCTTTGAACGAAATAGTAAAAATACAGCTTTATACATTCGTTAGCGGAATAGTTATAATATAGCTTTATACATATATTTTTTATTTCTGCACAATATTTCTGCACGATGGCGATTAGAAAATCAACTCACATTTCAAGCGGCCCAACATTCCGACTATAAACGCATTTTCTGCTTCATCTTGTACATACAACAATACAGACTCTCTCTGTTTGCAGAATGCCTAACAAAAATTATTTAGCACATGTATATATTATATATCAGATTCAATCGCTATAATTGGAGTATGCATATAAAATAACGGTAATCAAATTTGCAATACAAAGAAAACTTCAAAAAAAATATATTGTCCTATCCTTATCATTTTCATATATGGCTTTTGATTTCAATTTTGTGTAGTTCAGTTCTTCCGGCTTTATTTCTTGATTTTATATGCATTATGATGTTCTAAGTCATAGAACGGTAAGTTTGTTTAATTTGGTTTTATGTCACACCGACACAGTTTAGGTCATATGGCGACGTTCCAGATTAACTGGTGGAGGAAGACCTCAGGTGCCCTTCCGTGAATTATTTCAGGCACAAACGGGCGCCTGTGTAGAACCACCGACTTTCCGTAAGCTAGCTGGATAGCTTCCTCACATGAAAGAATCAAAAGACCCTGTCGGGATTCAAACCCACAGCGATGAGGGGCAAGTAATTTGAAGTCAATGACCTTAACCACTCGGACACAGGTGCCGAAGAACGGTAAGTAAATTATAGCCAAATTGGAAAAAATGCACTCAATGAATAAAATTAATATAGAACTTGTTTGAAAACTTTTCCTTTTTTAATAATCACAACATTGTTCAGAACAGTCATAAATGTTTACCTACCCTTGCTTCTTCATAAGTGCATGCTTGATCATTATCAAAGAAGTAACACTTCCCGTTGTAGGAGACCCAACCATCCGCACATGATTTTTTAGAACATTTATTTTTTCCACATTTTGATCGTAATTCCTCTGTTAATAAGAAAAATAATCAATATTCGATATATTTTGTTATCCTGATTGTGCAAAAAGAAAAATGTGGAATAAATAATATTTATATATTTATTGATTTTGTCTGTATGCATGAATTTTGTGTACAAAAATATGAAAGTTATTTAGAAATGGATTTTATGAAAATATAAATGTTTTGTCTCCCTATTTCTGTATTTTACTTTCTTTAAAAGTTCAATGATAAACCAAACCTTTGACGTTTCTTCTCAAAGATTGTATCCTTTCCTTAACGTCACTCACGAGATTAACCAACTCGTCAAAATCGTTTTCTATTGAGTCGTCTGCCTTTGCGCATGCTGAAAATCCAAAGACGAGCAGAATGGCAACCAAAATTATCTTCATTTTATCTGATCGTACACGAAGGTTTTACTTGAAACGCCAATGTAGTTAAATGACTTTCAAATGTTAAATCAAACTTATATATACATTGATTGCTCATACGTATCTGAGGTAAGAAATTAGAATATAATCTATCTGATTTGTACGCAGGGGTTGTAGCCTCCGAGTATGAATCAGATTAAGTGCCACGTGTTTCGATGTTGGGTTTTTTCTATTTTGTATAAATTGTATGCAAATAATAAATGCATTTTCCCTGTCGCCAAAATATGAAACCCTAGAATAAATGAAACAATGTACGAGTTTTGGTATGGTTTAAAAAGATATTTGGTAACATTTCGGCGGTTGGTCCATCTAACCAGCTTTTCTGGATAACTAAGATAAACCAGTTAATTACAATTGTTTTTCTCCAGTGACCGAGTGTCAAGTGGTTATTTTGCCTCGTCCATTGATCGACCCTCTAGATAACACATACATGTATGCAAAAATTGACTATGATGTAAAGAAATCAAGAAGATTTGGTAAACTTTTGTCACAACATTGTTCTTCCTTAAGGTTACTGCACAGTATACTAGCACTTTAAGACACGACCAGAATAATTCAAAGCTTTAACATGATGCTAATTTAAAAGATTTATTAGTTTTAAAAAGATAAATCGCATACACATAACTGATTAGGAAACAGTCAAACAGAAAACAAGATATCAATAGAATAGGATGAAAATAGTCTATGTTGAAACCGAGCCACTAGGCGAGTTTTATATCGCAGTCGTTTACCACCATATAACTTCTATCGAATTTTCAATACAGCAAACTTTTTAGTTGAAAATATTTATTTTTCTTCAAAAATTGACAACAGTTGTGTATAGAAAACTATATAGACGTACGTGGTAAGTGCTAACAGTCTTCCTGAACTTCCCTGCGAAGTGCTTGTAAAGTGCAAAAGACCATCGCTCAGTAACCAGCCAATACCGTATTTTTTAGGACTAAAATCTTCCCCAAAATTAAATAAACAACGATAATTTAAACTACTACCCGCGGTCAAAGTCAAGGTAGTAATAATTTTGCGACGCACAATTACATTTATTGAACATTTGTGTTAAATTTAAGTGTGTTATGATATTTGATAAATGGAATATCATACCATGTTTCTCAACTGTATACATGTATACTGAAAATTTTAGCATTATAAGATGTTTATACATGCACACTTATAAGATTTGTTAAGTATATATATCAGTCATGTGTTAATTTTAATGATTTGATTGTATAGTAGCATTTGCTTGCAAATTTATGGATGTATTTATGGATATCAAGATATTTATCAATTTTATTTGCAAACTGACATTAATGTTTTAATCATCTTTAAATCATTTGTAAAATGTGGTAGCATTTGCATGTCATTTATGAATATTTATTTTTATATCAAGATATGAAAAATTATATTTGATTAGGTTTTATGTCACCCTGACACAATATAGGTCATATGGCGACGTTCCAGCTTTACGGATTCGATTTTGTACAAGTATAAGGAGTGGTCCTCTATGCTCAATGTAAAGCTCAATGCCCTAACCCAAGATAAATGTCCTTGAGATTTTCGCATGGCATGCTTTTGTTTTGCTTCCGCGATTTGTTCTTTCTGTATATAAAATGTATAATAAAAACACCATTTTTCTAAGCCAACCGTTTTAACACCATTTCTTTGATTCCAATGCGGATTCAATTTTGTACAAGTTTGGAGGGTCCTCTATTCACAATCTACGGATCAAAACCCTAAACAAAGTAGACTGATCAGAATTTATTTAACATTTTTCTTCTTATAATATGGAACTTTCTAGATTTAGCTATGAAAAATTAAGCCCTGCTTATTTATTCTGTTCCTGTGCATTGCTATGTCAATTTCCAAAAAACAGTGTCACAAACAAAACCATTTTTGTGCTCCTTTGTGAAATATATCTGAAAAAAGTTATCCCTCGGAAGCATCAAAACAGCAAAATTACATGAAAATTGCAGACTCGTTTTAAAGAAAGCTCAACAAGACAAAATTGAAAATGTTGCAGGCTCAGTTTGATTGAGCCTGTTCATCACCGGCTGTGTTAAGCACCGGCTTCAGCAGAATTCAGCATTTAATGATGGTAATGGTGAAATTTTGAATTTAGAAACATCCGCAGATGTGTTCATACGGCGGTTATCAGTGAACACTTTCGTGCAATTCCATGAAAAGCGGCGTAGGGCTCCCCAGTGAAAGAATGCGTGTGCTCTAAACGAGAAAACATTGGGCGGAACTAAATAAAATGGAATTTTGATAGGGGATCAGAGGTAATGAAGCCTGCATATCACAGATATGACGTTAAAAGGCAGGCAACATAGTCTAAGGGTAATTCAACATTATTCAAGTAGAAATATTGGAACCACCCATATAGAAAAAGCCAAAAAAGTAAAATCTGAATGTACCACAAGCACAACAATAATGTCGTGCTGAACGATCTTTAAGGATAGAAAATATAACATCCCTGATTGAATGTACGGGGCGACTTTTTACAGCCTCCAAAGTCCCAGTTCTTTTTTCTCATGTTTGATTATCTTGAAATGTTTTGGTTTATCTTTAGGCATGCAACTTCAACATGCATTATCAAAATCATGAATCTATTTTCCCTTGATCATTGGTCACTTTTCAAAGTCCACTGATATTAAAGAATTGTTTGTCAACCAAGCAAAGTCTGACATTGTCCAGGGTTTTGCTTTACTATGTTCCAATAATAATTATTAGTCCACCGAAAGAATTTGTCTTTCTTGTTATATTAATCTCCTTTGGAAACTGTTAAAATTATGTAAAATTTACTAATTATATTATTTGCAACATGTATATGTACATGTATAACTAAGTTTTTAATTTTTCCAATGTCATACATATAATGTTATCCTTTTAAGATAAGAGAGATAATTGGTTACTAGTATATGCTATTTCTTTACTTTTATTTAAAAAAGATAAAACATTTAAACAGTGTTGTTTGCATCATTCATATTGTATTGATAAAACATTAAAATGTTACGATTTAAGATCATAAAAAATGAACAGTTACTGGGAGTTGATATTTAACCACTAAGTAAGAATGATGCTGATCTCTTGGTGACTTTATATCTGTTCACAATGTTCTCTATCCAAAGAAATCAGTAATCTTTGTTTGTTTTAGCTTTTTCTTTATCTCTGAAATGGAAAAATAAACATACATGTATGTTAAAACTCATGATGATACCTTGCAAGCATGGCGCATTACAAAAAAGCAGACTCAGCTTGACAGTTTGGCCCCAGCGGAAATAAAAATCGTATGCAACATTCCTCACAACACTAGCATTCGTTAATCACAAGCATATTTACATTGCAAATCAAAATAGGAATAAATGTAAGAATTACTTGCAGAATAACAAATGATTTTATAACCAGGTGCCTTTTTTATTTTGTTTACGCACTTTTTCAGAGCCCTTCAAATATATCTGTACATATATGACCTGCACTTTGACAGTCCCTTATCTCGAGTATTTATGCATGCATCTCAGTTTAAACATGTACATGTATTTGAAAAAAAAACCCCAAACAAACAAACAATTTGAACTCCTACTCCCCCCTTCCCTTTAGCTTTCGGGGTATGTCTATAAGTATAAAAGCTGTTTAAACTGTTCCGGATTTATTTGTATACTATGCTACTTTTTTATCATTGTCGAGTACAAAAAAATTATTTTATCAATTTTGAGTATATATACAAAGAACAATAGTTGTTTTAACTTTCTACTGTAAATTCGATAAATAATGTTTCTTTTATAATAATCGTTCATATGCGATCTGCATTCGTAATTTGCATCTTTTAAGATGCATTTGTTGAGTATATGTGCAAAAGCGATATGAATCCAAATCGTTGAAAATCTTGCTTATGCAATTTTTTGGTGGTAGCAAAAGTTGTTCAACAGTAACATTCTACTCTTGTATTCAAAATTACAACCAACATAATCAATTTACACATCAAACTTGCATCTCAATCCACGTAGCAAAATAGATCGCATATTAATGTTTTTAAGTTTACAATTTTCGATTGGCTACAATGTTGCCTAGTTACAAGTAATCATAAATGAGGTGATTATTCTTTGCTACGACTTCTTATATTTTCAAGAATACATTTTTTTTCTTGAATTTCATCAGCGTTTTTGGGGCAGTAAAAAAACGTACGGTACTCCTATGTACAAAATCGGAGTGCAAAATAGCCCTTTTCGTAAAGTGAGCGGTTGCTTTTTTCAACAAGAAGTATCTTTAAAAAAGATACTCGGACGAGGTAAAACTGCTTTTACTTGCATGGTGTCTTTCGCTATGCACATGCATTTCTGGGATTGTGAACGTTATTGGTCGTCTCGTCATTTTATAATGTCGTTTATAACTCGATAAATTCTTATGTTGAATAAGATTTTCACTAGAGAATTTATGAACATTTTTAAAGCAGCAGAGTAAAATATTTAATGGGAGGAAGTTCACAGATCTGAAATATCCGGAAAATTAAACTAGAACAGTGTGTTTCCGATACTCCTTTAGATTATTCTATAATTTCCATAATTTATTGTTTAAGATGTTTGCATTTGCATGTATATCTTTCAAAAGAACTGACTTGCAACAGTGAATATTACTTTAAGTCTATAGGACTTTAGTGTTCTTCATGTCTTTATATTTTAGAAAATGACAGAATAAGTTAAGTGCTGACTATTCAGGATATTGTAGGTTGGCGTCTGTTTATTTGAAACTTATGCATGCAAGCGCAACATATATATTAAACATGTTAAATATTATATTGAATATTGAACATAATATTCCATGAAACATCTTATGTTTGCTGGAAAAATCCATGTTTTGATCTCCAAACATTGTATATATTACAATTTATAATTGTTATAAGCATTGTACTATGCTTTATACAAATAAACTTTTCGTATTCGTATTCGTATCGTGTATATGTTTTAAAAAGATTTTGAGATGTCAATACTAATTTTAGACAGGCCAACGAAATTCCTGGATTTCAGTTTGCCATTTTAAAATGAACAATGATATCCTTCTAATATTAAGTTCTTGCCTATCAATTTTA